TTTCAATGTGTAACGTCCCGAAATTTTTAAGACTCATACTTATTTTAAAATAAAATATCTAGAATTAAATTAAGATTAATTTGATAGAGGTTTAGGTTTGAATTTTACTAAGTAAAAATTTGATTTTATTTTATTTTTTGACTATGAAAAAAATTATCAAAGTTAATCTGAGCTTTTGTATTATAACAAAAAGATTTAGGCTCTTTCTTGTAATTTTTCCTAAATTGTTTAAATCAGTTTTTAAAAGGGAAAACAACATGCAGAAAGAAAATGAAACAAGAAAGCAAAGGAAATGAAATGCACAAGATGAGAGAGTGATAGGAAGAAGAGAAGAGGAAGAGAGGGAGGTAGAGCTAGAATTTGGGAGGTTTTGTGGCTGTTGCGAGCTTAACTATACGACAAATAAACTCCTTACATCAATCCTCTTCCTTCCTTTTTAGTTTTTTTGAGTTTTTAAGAGAGGTAAATTTTAGATTTTGATCTCAAAGGCTTTGTTCTTATAAGCTTTGATTTCTTTAGATCTTATGAAGGATGTTTTGAGTTTTTATATGGTGCTTTAATATTTTGAGTGGGTAATTGGATGAAAAAGAGGTGTTTTGGGCACAAACTCAAACCCTAAGAGATTGGGTTTTTCTCTTTAATAGTTTAAGCCTATTGATTTAGTTATAATTATTCTATTTGAATCTAATAAGATTTAAATTAAGCTTTGGTTCTCATTATAAGGGTTAATGGTGAAAGTTGGTAATGCTGAGTGAAGGTTTTTAGTTAATTAAAAATTGTATAGTTTGAAAATTAGCTTAATGATGGTTAATAAATAATTTTGGTGGTTAAGTGGTACTATGAGAATAGTTGGTTTAATATATTGACTATTGGGATGGATTATGGCTCATTGACCCAAGTTGTGTGGTGTGAGTTATAATCTTTTTTTATACTTTTTGCCATAAGAAGTGATGTGGATCACTTATATGTTATAGAAAATTGTTGGTGGAACTTATTGACAAGTTAAGGAACAAGCCAAGTCTTATTTTGAACAAGAAGAAACCTTTTGGTACTAAAGGGTTGAGGTAACAGGAGAATTTATATTTCTTATTACTTTATTTAGTTATTTTTGAATAAATATTACTAGCTATCATGCATTACATGTTTTAAAAGATTAAATGTATTTTATAAAGGCTTATGGGGTACTACTTTGATAGTAGTGCAAATATATTTTTTATTTGTTTAACAACAATATTTTTATGGAAATGAGATTGTTTGCATGTATTGTAATCATAAAGAATAGAAGTTGCACTTAAGGAAGTGTAATTAGGTTAAATACCTTAGATAGGCTAAGCAACCATTTAATGGAGATTTATAAATGTTATATTACCTTAGAGTATTGAAGTGGTCAATACTCAGGAAAGGTAGGCAAAAGTAAAAGGCATAATTTTGATAGGAGTTTACTAATGAGGAGGTGTAGACTTGTGATATTCTATAACACACTGCCAGTACTTAGTGTTGCCTTATGTATTGTGGGCTCAGTGCACTAAAGTGGTTAGTGTGTTGAATGTTCGACACATCTTAGTGGGAAAGAAAATTCAATATTTAAAGTGTGAAGTTGAGTGTCTAGGTCAAGGCAACTCTTATATAGAGAGTAAGTCAAGCTGGCTTTGAAAGGGAGTTAGCTTCGACTACTTAGGATTCACATCAAAGGGGTATAGGGGTTTGGTGGATTAGATCATGCCTTAGATTATGTTTGTGTTTGTGGAGGTACAAGTAGTTATAAGGTTTACATATGAGTTAAAGAGTTTTAGGGGGCATTTTGTTGGTCAGGAAAGGCTATACCAGCCTATGTCATGCATTCATGTATTTTAAACGGCTAAATTATATACTATATTGAATATATTATTCGTTTATTCGATTATGATTTACTTTGTAATAATTAATGTAGATTTCTCTGTTTCTGAGACTGTGGTTATCTCACTCCTTTTTTTACAATATTTATAGGTCTAAGTGAATGATCCAGTAGTGGACCAAGAAAAGAGCTAAGTTAGGGGTTTGCTTGTGATTTGTAAAGAACAACATCCCCTTTTCTTTTGAGCAAGTATATTGTCATGTATTTATGATTAAGGTGCCAGTAGGATGTGACTATACATATATCTGAATATGTGTAGATTGTGTGCTTGTGTATGAATTTTTGCCACTTGTAGACTTGTGTTTAGGAAACTTGGTTATGGTATGTGATTTTGATAGATTCATTTAATAGACCAAGTTTCTACTATAAGAAAATATTTATTTTGGTATATATATACATGAATATGTGTGATTCTATATGTAATTGCAAAGTGGTTGCATTGCGAATTGTATGCTAAGGGCAAACATACACCTTGGATAGAGAGATTGGATGTTTGGGCCCCACGGGGATTTCCAAGCCAAGTAAAAATGTTTAACATATGTATTTATATAAATACATGGTGTTTGGATTTATTTTTAACTACTTTTGTATGATTTGTGCATTTTAAGGGTTTAAGGTTCATTTTAGGAAATGGCACTCGAGTGGTCAAATTTTAATATAAGGGTTTTTTCTATCATTTGAATGTTTTATTAGGTACTCCTAGTCCTCTTTAATGTATCCAAAGTATTTTCACAAGTTTGTGACCTTTAGGATGAGATTTGGACAAATTTGAAATGGTTTTTACCAAAAAGCTGCACTTTTGCATCATGGTGTCTAAATTTCAATCCGACCGTTGGATTTTCCTAAAATTTGGGTCACAAGTAAAATTTTTATAATATTTAGTGAGCTTTGGAATCACCTTGATCGGATGTCGAACAAGGAAATGATTCTCTCCGAAAGTTTGGTCGTAGATGCTGTCATGCTGTCATGACAACAACAATTGCTGAAATTAGGATGTGCATAAATTTTGATCTGATCGTTGGATCTTTTTAAAATTTTGTAGACTTATATTACTCTTTGAGTGTGATTCACTTCGATTAGAGATCAAATAGTTAAATAGTGTACTCCAAAAATTGGTTTAAATGTGCTATCATGATAGTAAAAATATCCAAATTTGTAACGTGTGCAAATTTTAATCTGACTGTTGGATCTTTCTAAAATTTTGAACACTATTAATACATATTAGAAGTGACGTGTGAGATTTAAAATCATTTCAATCGAAGAATAGATGGTGAATTGGTGCCTCCTAAAAATTTTCCCGGGAGGGCTGTCATAACAGCAGATTAATGCTGTCATGACAACAATTAAATGCTCCTATTTTCCTAGTTTGCTTTCGTGCGCTATACCGTAATTCTTCAAAATTTTCTAAAAAAATTAATTTAAATGTGTATTTTGCTATTGTGTAGATTGTTTTGTATTTTAAATAGTGTATTTCTTAAGTTAGTTTTAGGATCAACTCATTAACCATACTCAGTTTATTTGACTTGGGCGATTTTTAGATAATACTCAGGGTAAGTGTTACACAACGCATCAAAGGTATCATCTATAGCCTTACTCATGGACTTGTAATCAATAGGATTCATGGACTCTAGTTCAAGTAGAAGATCTTTTAGGGCATTTAATACAATTTGATTTTGCCTTTATGCTTAGGACATTGGCTTTCTTTCACTAATAAGTGATACATTGACGCTAATAGCATTTCTAAAATCCTTAGAAAGGCAACTAGTTGAAAGTGTCACATGTTCACCAAGTTTGCTAGTTACGAGCTGATTACATTCATCAAAAAGACTAGCACAATAAATTTCTTGCATATGAGAGATGATAGTATTAAAAATTAGGCAAACATCTACAAAATAAGAGATAGGGGAGCTATGCTAAATAGATCCAAATAAAAGAGGGCATGAACTTATTAGAAAAGTTAGTCAAATCATACTTACAATAGAAAAAAAGCTTAAGTTGGGGAGTTTTAAGTTTAGAGTTGGATGGAAGAATGCAAGCATACCTAACCAACCCATTGAACAAGGATCTGTTGCAGCATTTTTTTAGACCCTTCACCTTGCCTTTATTTTTCAACTGATATGAATAAACTTGCAATCCACTAAGCCTCAAACGACATGCATCTGTTTCCTTAACCATGATTGCCAATTGCCAAATGTATAGAGTGCACGTCCTAGACAATTGTATAAGATAGGGTAAGGTATTACTTGACCTTAAGGACAATTCAATCACAATGTAATTGTGTGTGTTATGTGTGTTAGCATGCTCATAAGTAGGTAATTGTCTCATAAGCATGTTAGCATAGTCACACATCATTTTAACATGGTGTCACATAATGGTTAACATGGAAGGTAGGTAGGGGCACAAGAAGGTTGTATTCATTTTATATTAAATTCAGTATAAATAATATGTAATTTTTACACACCTAACTTTGTTCATGGATTAATTTACATGAAATTTTTGTAGAATATTAGGTTCGGGCAATTGAAAGTTCATGGTCAATCTCAAATATGATTGGAGATAAGCTAAGTTTAAATGAGAACTTGAATTTTTAACAAGTTTGGATGGCATGACGAACAGAAGGAGCAACTTAGAACAAGAGGAGACCAAAACCATGCTCGTTCGGACAAAATAGACTTACCTAATCGTTGTCCCTCAGGCCACCGGCACTTTGAAGTAGCTCAAAACTCGTCGCTCACAAGTCATCTGATTAGAGCACCGTGCAGAGAGATGAGCTTCTCTTTCTTTGTGCTTGTCACTCACAGCTCACACTGCTTGATAGTTCGTCAGAAAAACATTCAACACTCTGGTCTTCTCTCGTTCAAATCGCATGACGGAGCTAAGTAGGGAGGGTGGTTTTTGTGTTCAAATTCAATTGTTAGGACAGGAGCATTTTTGTCAGCACAAAACAAAGTAAAAACAATAAAAAATTAAGCTTGGTCCTTCAATAAAATTTAATCATTGGGACTAATTTCACTTCCGATCATGTTCTTTTCACTAATTTTTCAAATAAAAATTACAATAAAAAGTGTGTGAAGGGCACGGCTTTCAGCGTTTCACTCCGCGGTTCCGCCATCATCCCTACCCCTAACTAAACAACAGTTCAAGAGAGACGCACAAGTCGGGGTAGGAATAGGCTAGCGCCTTTCCTTCAATAGACCTTCTCCTTCAATCTTCGATCAGTCCACACTCGGTGCTGTGCTCGTGAAGTCGTGCTCTCCTCCGTCGTCGATCAGTCGAGCCCAGACATTCTCTTTCGTCTTCTCCGCGGCGCCCAAACTCAGCTCGTGAAGTCTTGTTCTGCTCCCAGTCGTCGGCTTGTCGCTTAGCTCCCCTTTAGACTTTCCGCGAGTGCTCACCGTCGATCGCTTGTGCTCTTTCTCCTCGTCCTCGTCCAGACGTTCTGCTCGTGTTCAGGTTGGTCCTTCTCAGTCTCCATCGCTACTCGATTAAAGACCTGTTAGCCTGTTACTGGTAGTCTTTCGCAAGTGTGCTTGAGGAGTTCCTCTGGACGTCTCACTGGCGGATTTAGATAATAGATGAGAGCTAGATATAGTTTCGAATGAAAAAAACAAAACTTTTCAGGCTTGGTCATTAAATTTTACTTACAGTGCTCAAGGGCGCTTCTAAAATCGTGAATTTTTGCTGGCATTTAACCATGTTACCACTTAGCAGTATCAGTTGTGTTTCATCTTGTCTATATGAGGGGTTTGTCTTCTTGGGTGTTATTAATTTTGTTCTTTTGGGTGAACATGGTGTTATAATTTTCATTTTGGAGAATTAGTTGCCGAGTTCACTAAGTTGATTGCCTGGTCTTATAGATGAGAATTTAGAAGTTCTGTGTTTATGATTTTCCTAGTTGCTTTATGATATTCATGGTATATATTTTTCTAGTGATAAGGAAAAGGTTTTCTTATTAAACTTTCAAAGACCTGGTTTTTGGATGTGTTACAGCAGAGGAGGTGAATTTATTACTGTCTGCACTTGGATTTTATCAATCTGAACCAAGCCCTCGTTCCTTTCTTTGTCGAACTTGATTAATTATAAAAAAAAAATATGGACTGAACTTTTAGATTTTCATAGCTTGAGAGAGGTCAGTCAAGGTAACTGGAATTTTCAATTCATTCTTTTGTGGAAGAATGACATAGAGATCCAAAAGAATCAATTAATTTAAGTTAAGTCCCAAGTATTAAATTTCAGGAATTTACAACTCAATTTCTCAATTTTGCAACTTCGTTGTGATTAATTTATAACTTATATTTCAAATTTTAACAAGACAAAATAATTTTTTTAACTCTTCAATTATGTTAAAATTTGAAAAACAAATTGCAAATTCATCAAAATATAATTGCAAAATTGAGAGATTGAGTTTCAAATTTATGAAGTTTGGCACTTGAGATCTAATTTGATTTAATTGATCTTTTTGGGATTTCTTAGTCATTCTCCCTTCTTTTATTGTATAAGAGTCATCTGAACAGGAGGAGATTATATTGAAGTCTTGATTGGTATTCCTATCCTTTAGTGCTAGCAATGGCTAGCTGTTGATTTTTATTTTGTTAGTTGTATTGTGTTGTGTTGTTGCATTCATTGGTGATGTCATTTTATTGTTTCATATTATTTTATAGATTAATATTAGTGTGCTGATTGTCTGGACTTTGAGGCCTAAATACGTAAGCCTTTTTAAAGGCCCACATGTGGTAGGCCTTTAAAAAGTTTTCAGGCTGGGCCAAGCGTATCATAGGCTCAAGCTTCTTTGGCTGAAAGCTGGCCTGTCCTATTCCCATCCCAGTAGCTGGTTTGGTCCTTCAAATTGTTCCTTGTACATGTTTTAGGCATTCCTTCTATGTGTTGATGCTTGCATTTTGGTTGTTTTTCACAGATGAAGGTGAAGAAGCAGAAGAGGCACAGGAAGATTCTCACATTTTACACTTCTTGCTTTGATTTTCGGAAGCCTTTCAAGGTTTTGTGTGATGGAAATTTTGTACACCACCTTCTTCAGAATAAGATAACTCCTGCTGATAAGTCTCTTGCTAATATTCTAAATTCTGATGTCCAGCTCTTCACAACCAGGTCTGTTTGTATTTCTGTTTTTTATATTTTAAAAAATAATTAACAATTAAATTTTTAACCTCTGTTTTATTGCTCACCCTTATCAGTTTTGTGCAAATATGTCATCTCCTTTTGTTTTGTTTTATTTACTTTCCTTTTTTTACTTTTTGATTCTCATTTCTTGTGAATTTCGGATGGAGGGGATGCAGATGTGTTTTAGAGGAGTTGAAACGACTTGGTCGCTCATTTACTGGGTCACTTGAGGCAGCTCGTCAACTTAAAATTGCCAGGTTAGCCATCCCCCGTCTTTTTTAGACAGTACTTGAGTAATACAACAAAGTTAAGTGATTTTATTTACCATTTTTTCCCTATCTAGTATTGCTCATCTTGTCATTAAAATGACATGTATAACAACTTTTGTCTGATTCGATATCAAAGCAGTTTGAACCACAAACCCATACAGTTTGCTTAATACTCTGTTTCATGTTTGAGTTTTTATTCTCTGTTCTAGATGATAAGCTTAATTTTTGCAAAAGAAAAATGAATTTCTACATGCTTCTCTCAAAATGACTGCTAAATTTTGACATGGTTATTTTTTTTTTTCTTTTACACTCCATATCATGCCAAAAGATTGGATTAAGTTCCAGCCTAACATGTCTCTAAAAAATTTATTAAATTTCAGTGTATTTGATGTAATCATTTGGAAGGGAGATGCTTTTTAATTTGACATAAAAATAGACTAGCTAAGAATCCCATGATCTAATCATGCATCAATTTTGACTGATTTTCATGCCTACAAATTTTGAGATATTTGAATGCTAGTTTTGCTTTGTCTATTCTCACTTGAGTTTAAACATTATAGATGTGAGCACGAAAAATGTGAGCATGCTGCTAAATGCATAATGGAGGTTATTGGAGAAAACAATTTAGGGCACTTTTTTGTTTGCAGTCAAGATATCGAACTGCGGAGACAGTTGCAACAGGTTTGCCCCACTTTCAATTACTTGCTTGGCAAGTTTGTTTCTCTTTATTCTATCATTAATGAAATCTTGGAAACGTTATTGACTTGATTGATTAAGTAGACGCTTAAATAATACTGTTACATCTACTCTTCCATTTGTGGGGATACATTTATCTTGATGTATTCTTCGTGAAGGGTTTTTTTTTTTTTGGTCTTATTTGATTGTTTAGAACTTGATTCATTTAGAGATACTTTGAAGACAAATATAATCTGGTATTATGCATGCTGTTTGCCAGTTCTGTCAGAAGCAGAACTAGCAGTTAATTCCAAAAACTAGAGGGGGTGGGACTCTGGATCTGCGTATCAATTTAATGTTGGCGTTGGTGGAAGATGGGCTATTTATCATGAGCAGATAAATTGCAGTATTAGGTCCCTAAAGTGGAAGAATTTTAAGATAGTTGGATGGCTATTATCCTAGTTTTAAATGAGGTAAAGTAGATGGATGTTTTAGATTATTTCTAATTTTTATACACCACAAGAGGGTTTATAGAATTCTATAGTGTTTGATCATATTATTAATTATTAATTTCTTTTAAATGTTGTAACCTTATTTCAATTAACTTGGAACAAGTAAAAGTAAGGAAAAAAAAATCAAGAGATTTGGAATAAGTAAGGTGTATAAAGGATGAAGAGGAAAATATTTTGGTCATAGATAATGATATTAAAGATAGATGGGAGACATATTTTTTTACACTTTTCAATGATGATGGGGGTCGTCAATTAACTTGGAAGATTTAGTAACTTTTGAAGGAGAGCAATTTGTCTTTTAATCGAAAAATATGGGCTTGGGAAGTGAGAGAAGCTCTTAAGAAAATGGCAAATGGTAGAGCTAATAGACCTGATTGTATTTCTATTGAAATGTGGAAATGTTTGGGTGAAGAAGGAGTGTGGTGGTTAATTAAGTTATTTAATGAGATCTTATAATCCAACAGTGCCGGACGATTGAAGGAGAAGCATCTTAGTTCCTATTTATAAATATAAAGGAGATATTCATAATTGTGCTAACTACAGAGGGATTAAACTTATGAGTCATACTATGAAATTATGAGAAAGAGTGATTGAGCATAGGTTGAGATTGAAAATTGAGATTTCGGAGAATCAGTTTGGCTTTATGCGAGGGAGAGCGACTACAGAAGCGATTTATTTATTAAGGGAATTAATGAAAAAGTATCGATGTAAAGGCAAAGATTTACATATGATTTTCATTGATTTGAAAAAATCTTACAATCGTGTATCGAAAGAAGTACTTTGGAAGGCTTTGAAAAAGAAAGGTGTCCATGTTGCTTATATTTGAGTTATACAAGATATGTATGAAGGGGCAACAATTAGTATTAGAACGCTTGGTGGTGAAACAAAAGATTTTCCTATAAAGATCGGATTGCATAAAGGATCATCTCTAAGTCCTTATTTGTTTGATCTAGTGTTAGATATTTTGATTGAGCATATTCAAGAGAAAATTCTTAAATGCATGCTTTTTGTGGATGGTATAGTTCTTATTGCAGACAAAAAGGAAGAGATAAATTGTAAACTTGAGTTATGAATGAAGACGTTAGAGTCAAGATTTCTGCCTAAGTAGGAGTATAACAGAATATTTACATTGCAATTTTAATAAGGGGTCAATGAGTAGTAATTTGGAAGTGAAATTGGATGATCAAATTATACTTCAAGTGAAAAAGTTTAGATATTTGGGAGCGATTATTCAATAAAATGGAGATATTGATGGAGATATTACACATAGAATACAAGGAGGGTGGCTTAATTGGAGAAATGTTATAGGAGTTATTTGCGATTGTAAGGTATCTGATAAGCTTAAAGGAAAGTTCTATCGAATTGCTATATGACCAGCAATTTTATATGGTTGTGAATGTTGAGATTTGACGGGACAGCAAGAGCATAAAGTTGGAGTAGCAGAGTTGAAATGTTGAGATGGCTGTGTGGATATACATGTAAAGACGAAATTCGAAATGAGCAAATACGAAAAAAAGTGGGTGTGGCACTTATTGAAAAAAAATGGTAGAAAATCGTTTGAGGTAGTTTGGACATGTACAACGAAGACCACGAGAGAACCCTGTGAGGAGAGTGGAACAGATGACTTTAAACTCTGTCAAGAAAGATAGAGGAAGATTAAAGAATACTTTTGGAGATTGTTGAGCGAGATTTTTTAATTAATAATACTTTTAAAAATTTAATAAATGATAGAGCACAATGGCGTCATATAATTCATGTAGTCAACCTCACCTAGTGGGATAAGGCTTGTTATTGTTGTTTGTTTGTAACCTTATTTCAATTATCATGTTTCAGCTAGGTTGCCTTTTTGTGCCTATGAAATCGATCTTGATATCACTTGCATGCATGATTCCTTTACGACATTTTATGATGAACCTTGTAATCTTCATTTCCAAAAAAGTAAAATTGATGATTTTTTTTTTTGGCTATTAAAAATTTCTAAAGTTGTGTTATATCTTATTATATTAATTGTCCTTCACTAATTTAACAATTATACCTTTAAAATGACATTTGTTCTTGTTTGCTTGCTTGTTTGTAGGTACCCGGTGTGCCTCTCATATACGGTCTCAGAAATGCTCTTTTTCTCGAACCTGTATCTGCATTTCAAAGAGAATATGTTAAAACTTCAGAAGAAGCGAGATCACATATAACTGACATAGAGTATCAAATGCTCAAGAATAAATTACAAAATACATCAAATGGTGAAGAAGCTGCAAATTCTGCGGATGAGGAAAATGATTTAGGGGATCAAACTGAAGATGTAAAGGCAGTGAAAAAGAATCCTAGTGCAAGGAACGAAATGGGCATTAAGGATAGACCTCAGTTCAAGAGGAAGAAAGCAAAGGTAAATTCACTATGATTCTTTATTGATTGCTTGTTCAATCTCTCTCTCAAAAATAAAAAACTGAATTTCATTAAAATTATAGTGACATTACTTAATTGATAGCAATTTTGGCATCTCCCAATGGCATGTTTATTGTGTTATTTTTCAATGTTGCAGGGTCCAAACCCATTATCATGCAAAAAGAAAAAGAATAGTAATGAAAACCATAAGGTTGGTTTATTGAAGGTGAGCTTTCCGAAATTCTTATATTTTTCTCATCTTGAATATTTATTAACACCGTTAATCGCTGGTGATTCATCAACGTTCACAATAAATTTTGTTTGTTTGTTCATGTATGTCAAGTTGCCCCCTTTCAAATAAATAAGGCTTAAGAATCATGTTTGATTTGTGATATAGTACACAAGAACAGGGTACAAGGTTTGTGCGTCAATTTCAACTGAAGCTGAGAGATTCCCCCCCCCCCCCGGGCGCAGATAAGGATTTAGTTAGTCAGGAAATTGGTGCAGAGGCATGTTTTAACAAGTGTAGTGAGTGTTACTATTTAATTTAACAAATATGTTAGTATATATAGAAAATAGTGTCAATCTTGTATGTTTCATGAAATTTGAGAAATGTGTTGTTTTGTTTACAGCTCACGTAGAACTTTTTAGGGCCTGTTCTCTTGCTGAAAAGGAATGGAATGGAATGGGTAGGAGAAAAAAAAAAGGAAAAATAAAAATGAAGTAAACTATCTAATTCTTCATGGTAATCATGAAAAATCTCAATACCACATATTTCAAATATAGGAATCACCACACCTATTACAAACCTTAATTATCACAATTCTCAATCTCATGAATTAAATTACTTATCATCCTCATAAACATGATTGACTTATCTCTTCTTCACTTCTTGATTATTATATTTTTATTTTTATTCTTTGATCCATTCAATTCTTTTCTAGCAAGCAAACAAGCCTTTAGGGTTTTTATATTATAGGGAAAATTAGTCATTTAGTTTTTATAGTTTAAATTTAGTCCTTGAATTTTGACTTTGTTGACTTGATTAAAACTCAATCCCAATGATTTTATCTATTTAAAATGTTGTTCCATACATTTCAGAAAATAAAATTATAAAGTTATTATTAAAGCTTAGGAACTAATGTTTCAAATGGCTAAGACTAAGTTGCAATGAATGAAAGTTCAAGACTAAATTACAATTGAGAATCAAATTATAGCAATGGTGTTGTTTCGAGTTAAAGTTTAGGAATTGAATTATAATTAAGTAAAAAAAATTTCGAGATCTAATGATTTTTCCTATATTATATATATAGTATATAGAACATTCTTGCATGCAACATGGAGTTTGAGAAATGAGCCACGCTATTCGTAACTCATGAATGTTGGAGTATGTCTGAGTTTTTATGTCATGAACTTCATGTTAGAGTTGTATTTGTTAAAAACAAATTAGATGATTGGGTTGATATATGTTTCTTGAGCGTTTCTTAAGGGATGTTGTGGTTCAGGAAAAGACGGAAGGAGACAACAAAAGGAGTAGGAAGAGGAAGAGGACACGTAAGGGGCAGCAAAACACAACTGTAACAAATTAGTTATGAAAAGTGAGAATTTTGATCCTCTGCAATCAGTCACAGATTAATTTTATACTGTGCAATTAAGAAGAGAAGAAGTTGGCGTAAAGAGAGTGAGTCTCATATAGTTTTGTTTTGTTTTGGTATCATTTTGGTAGGATGTCAAGTCAGTATTTTGTGCTTTAGTAATTTAATTTTTTATTTTTAAGTTAGGTTTTCTTTAGATTATTCGAAGTCACATTTTTCTTTACTGATGTTTTTTTTTTTTTTTTTACCCTTTGAATTGTCAAGGTTACGGTTAAGATTATGCGGGCAAATAAATCAAGATACACCTAAACGTAAGGAGTCTCTGTATCTTAGCTGTGGTTCATTTAAAATCTTAATATTGAAACTATCAATATTAGCATGATAAGCTAGCTAGTGAGCTCAACAATTTGCTTTTCTAAATACATAATCAATGAAGACTAGCCAATCATACATAAGAAGATTCTGATTTTTTTTAGTAGAATTGACAACGTTGGCATGACAGTAATTTTCCTTCTAGCAAAGTTCAAGGTTTTCAAAGATTGTGAAAAGTTCTGTAGCAGTACTTGGTTGATGTTCTAAAAATTTTATAAATCTCTTTTTCATATTCCTTAAGTCTTGAATGATATTTTATAATTATAAATTTAAAAATTTTATTTGTAAATAAATATTCAAGTATTAAATGTAACTCTTGCATTATAATGAGAATTTTTATTTGTAATTGTTTGAATTAATATTTAAAATTTATTTTTGTAAAACTTTTATTAAAGATTTAATTGTTATTAATTTAACATCTTGAGGCTAAACTATTATTTTTCCTATGTTTTTAGGGTACTGGTCATGGTGTCCTTTTCTCTTTGGATTTATAACTGCAAGTGTGTCTTTTTGTCTGAATTTATAATTGCAAAATATCCAACTCTTTTGAATCTGCCATGGGTCTCTCTTAGTATTTGGGCTTCCAACTCCTTTTTAAGTCAAACGCTTTCAAAAACTGATCATTTATTAAACTAATAGATGTATCTGGTGTATTTAAATTAATATATTTTTAATTTTGGATTATATATAGTTTTTAAATTAGAAAGACTGTAAAACTGATACTCCTTTTGGTAAAAGGTATTTTTTCTCAACTTAAATATTAAAAAATATAAGATATTTTCAATTTTTTAATTTTTAATTAAATATTTTTTCTAAAAATGCCTTTAATAAATAAAGGGTTAATTAGCATTTGAAACCTTAGTTGGAGAAAACAATTGTTACTTTTTGTAATTGTAGGGTCTAATCACACATTGATATAATACTTATTTTGACTCTTAAAAATAATGGTCGTTTTTTTTTTTAACTTAACGATAAAATTTCAAGCATTCAAAATTTAAAAGTTAAAGGGAGTTTTTGTACATTTTAAAAATTCAAGATTTATGATGTTATTTATGTAATAATTTAGGGTCTAGGATAGTCATTAACCCATAAATAAACAAATAAATCTTTCACTTTTAAGCAAGATATCCTATTAAATAAAGGTAAATATGAAATAATGATATGAGTTTAAGAACAATTAACAAATTTATTGGAGGTGTTATTTGGTTAAAATACCTTATATGTTTAAATGGACATAATTAATAAAAATTTAAAAAAATTAATTATTTAATTTTTATAGTTTTAATTCGGTTATAATTTAGTCAATAAATTTTGAATTGTCTAAAATTCAATAATTATTATTATGACTGATCATTTCTCAAATTTTAACATAATACAACTTAATTTTTATAATTTTAATAATTTAAAATAGGATAAAAAGGTTAAAATATTTACGAACTTTTATATCAAGAAGATCTAATATTTTAAAGTAAAGAAAAGTAAGAGAGTCTCCATGAAGTTATTTAAAGTTGGTGTATCTGTACGCAATCCGTCAAGCAGCAAAGACGTCGACCGTTGTGCTATCCACCTAGGCAAACGTCGATTGATTTGAGCTGACATGGAGTGCACGTGTCTCCCTTCTCCATCCTTCTCAAACGCGATCTACTTTTCTCTACCATCCGATCCCTCCATTTTTGCGCCTTCCTCTTCCTTAGTTAACAGTTCAGATCCAAAAGAAAATTTCGGATCCACAGATTAAAAAAAAAAAAAAAAGCATATCTATAGCCACAATTAACGTTCCCAACAAATAACAGAAGTTGGTTCGAGTTATAGACGACTCAGTTCTCCTTAAACAAGGTCTTGAGTTCAAGCCTTGTGTATGTAGAAAATTTTTGTTGGGAGACTCACCTGCCATGCCATGTGCGTGATGTGGATTGGATTCGAATGTAGTCGAGCTAAAGCTTCGGTGAACCGGGTGGACTATCAAAAAAAAAAAAAAAAACTTTCCCAACAAAAGAAAATTCATATATACATTTCAAAACAAGTAAACAAATTAAAATTGGGGGAAAAAAAAAAGCCAGAGAGGATGAAGCTTTGGTGGACACTCATCAACCCATTTGATTGTCCGCTATTCAATTTCTCCGGTGACGGTGAAATACAGTGTATGCATAGAAAGAAGATGATAAGAGATTAAATGCAAGCGAAGCTTTCTCCCTCAATTTCCCTCGTTTTGTTCCATGACCGAGAGTGAGAGAGAGAGAGAGAGTTTCAAATGCTCAACCCTTCGTCTTCTCTGCCTTTCTCCGCCGTCTTCAACCTTCGCCGGTGGTGGGTGTGTGAGAGCTTTGTCCGCTGCTGTAAGAGTATCACGATTTTTCCTTCTCTCTGCTTCGCCGTTCGTTCCTTGTCCTCTCCTTCTTCGTGCTGATCAGTGACGCTGGACCTCCACCTTCCTTGTGTTGCGCCGTCGTTGTTCAGTACTATAGGGGAACATCGTCGGCCGAACAAGTTTGGTTCAGAAGAAGAGCGATGTAGAGGAAGAGCGATCCAGCGCTACTCATCAGCCATGCCAGGGCATAGGTTTGGTTCAGAGGAAGAGCGATGCAGAAAGAGGTGGCAATGTGGCGATGCATGAAAGCTGCCTAGCATGAATTATGGGTTTTGGGATAGAAAATTAACGAGTTCAGTTATTTTCATGGTTTGGGCAGAGATACACCAACTAAAATAACTTCAACACATTTTTGTACATTTCTTTACTTAAGAATACTAAGCTCCTATTTGGTTACAAGAATCTTGACCTATGTAATAATAATCATGTCTCATCCCATATTTAGTTGCTTGTAAGAGACATAGAATAATTTCTTTTAAGAATGTGAATTATCATATTTTTAAGTATAAGAAAGTCTTTAAAAAATGAAATATAATCATGTTATCTACCTTAAATTTAATATATTTTTTATCAAAATGTGCTTGTTAACTTTTCACACCCATCTTTTTAGTTTTAATTTATTATTATTATTTTTTCTTTACAATACTTTTAATCTTATAAAAAATATTTTTTAAGTTTTTGAATTTAGTCAAATTTAAATTTAATTCTTTATGTATCATATTTATATATCTTTGTTTATTTTTACTTTTACAAAGTAAAATTTAAATTTAAAATAATTTTTTTGAAACACGTTAATATATATGTATGTGTGTTGGTATATATGAACCGTTGAAAAACTTTTGAACGAAAAAAAAAAGACAAATGTATTAAGATAAGAAAAAGATGGTTGTTGCCTCATTACAGTAAGGGTATTATGATCTGTATGTTTTTAATTTATATTTAAATAAATAATATAAATAAACTCTATGCCCACCTATTTAAGTATTCTACCAAACAAATTTATAATCATGATCATTTCATTCTTTTTCATTCCCCATCATTTCATTCCATTTCATTACTTCCTTTTTCATGAGTGTTCAAATTTTGACAAGAACAGTCACTTATCTCTCAACATTAAACTAGAACTAACCTAATATTTAAGCTAATCTCAAGTCTTCTCATAAGGAGGAGATCTAAGCTTCTTAGTCTAGTTTGAATTAAACTTATTACAACTTAAGTTAAATTGTGTGTAGTGAAATTTCCTTATAAGTAGGAACCCTAAAACATTGCTAATAGAAGAATCTTAGCTTTCAAATGAATGTGGTAGCTCACTCAAACATCTCCCAATTAGCTAAAAATAATGTTCACTCAAGACAACTATTTTAAGCTTCACTAATTCAATTTCTTAATACCTAATTACAAGAACTTGGTTACCTAGAGAAAAAGTTCATGAGCATTTTTTTCTTTTTTCCCTTTAAAATATTGGTATCCATTTTTTTTTTTCTGGGCTGAGCTTGCGCTTGCCGAGGCAATGATGTCAAGCATATACTAGTGTTAGAACACTTCCTAGAATGTTCTCAAAATCCCTCACGCAGGACGATGTTGTGAATAGTAGTATAAGATGGCAGAATTTTTTTAACGGACAAAATGTTCAATTTTTTAATGATTATTGGCTTTTTCCTGGTGCTAAACTTAAAAAGTTTCTGTTAGAGGCCCCTTACACGGCATGAAGAGAATAGCACCGTAGCAGACTGGGTGTTAAATGGAACATCGGATTTTACTCGAATGGTTGGCCTATTTTTGAAAGAGATCTTTCATAAGCTCATTGCAATTTGTCCTCCTTCTGCGAATGCAGGGTATGACACAATGTCCTAGTCAAGAAATGCAAATGAAGAGTTCTCAATCAAAAGCATTGTTCGCCCTCCCCTTCGTTAAGGATAGCACCCGATGTGTCTTTAGTGGAGTTGAGAGTGGGACTCTCTTGAGTTTATTTACTCAGGTGGTGGTACGTGATAGTACACTATCTTTATATCTTTTCAATGATCGAATTCTCAATGGCATGACGTAATGCACATCCTTGGAGTTTGATCTCACAATCTCATACTCAATGAAAAAGTGGGCAACATTGGTACTACTGAGTTGGTTTTTTAATGCATCTTTTTTAAATTGGGTTGTTATGAATTTAAAATCTAATTTGACCTCTCAATATTGTTTTGATTGGAGTTTGTTGTGGGATGTGGGCATATGAAAGTTATGGCTCTGGAGAAATAAATTTATCTTTAAACCAAACTTTCACAACACATGCAATTTGATGGATATCATTGCTTATACTTGGAAAACTTATTGTTTTAGGAATATTGAAGTAAACAAGGAACTGTCACAACTCAGGTAGAACATAATCGATGTTCTCCTTCACTGAATAATTGGGTTAAGGTTAACATAATGTTGATGGAGCAATGGCTTCAAACTCTAATTGAGCAGGTTGTGGGTGTGTCATTTGGGATTATAGAGGTACTTGGATTGCGGGGTTTGCCCAAAATTTGGGTATTTGTGGAGTTTATGAAGCTGAGGAATAGGCTGTGTTGAAAAAGGCTTAGATTTGTTTGGGATATGGGATTTAAGAATGTAATCTTGTTAATTTGATGCTAAGCTGGTAATGGACCGAATTAATGAATCTAATGCTAATAACCACTATGGAAGTATGGTGATGTCACAAATAAGAGATATGCTAAAATTTAAGTGGAATGTAAGATGTCAGTTAATTAGTAGAGAGAAGAATTTGGTGGCTGATAGAATTGCAAAATAAGGACTACAAGGTTCTAAGTTACATGACACAACTCCTCAATTTTTTTTTAATAGAAGGCCATAGAAAAATTGTGCAAACATCTTAAGTCATGTCAATAATAAAAGATTTATACAATCGAGGGGTGAGATATAAAAAATATGAATGTTAAAATTATTAGTAGGAACTTGGTGAGCCATCCAATCAGGGCAGTTATTTGTTTCTCTAAATACATGGTTAAATATGACCTTTCAACCTCTCATAACTAGTTCTCTAATTTTGTTGATGGATTTAGTAAGGGAGTAATTTGTAGAGAATTTGTTGTGAATTAAGGAGTGGTGTTATAAAATTTTCAGTCTGACAAAGACCTCCAATTTTTGAGGATCCTAGTTCAAGAAAAATAAAATAAAAGTTTGGGATCTGATTCCCCACTGCTTAAGTTTATTATTTTTGGGCCTAGGCCCTCACTATTACATACGAAACGTTGGATTTTGGCCCAAAAAAGAAATATTGGGCTAGATATATTTCAGATGTAATAGTGCACTATTTATATGTCATAATCAATTTAATTTTGAGTTGGCAAAAAAACATCAATTTATAATCGTTTATTATTTGTTCCAATAATTAATTTAATTTTTTTCTTGCGCATTAATTAATATAAATTTAACTATTATCATATTTATCTAGGACTTCCTTTCTGAATGTATTTATTTTTCTTTTACAAAATATATTAATTTTATTGTTCAAAATTATAAGGTACATGTTTAAAAATATGAGACATTCGGGAGTTTTTTAGGAGTAATTAATAATATATTTTAAAAATATTTTCAATGAATATTTAAAATTAATAAGATTTTTATATTTATTTATGATTAAGTTGTTCTATTAAAGGCAGACATAAAATGATTAAATAATTTTTAATGGTATTATCTGTTTTCATGAAAGTTGAAAAGTTGATTAAAAATATCTTATAATTTTTAAGGTAAGATTATTTTTCCGGATTTATTTTTATTTACACAAAAAGAAATAAGGTAGCAAAAATCAAATCAGTTATTAAGTTGATAAAATATCGTTTCAAAGTTAAGGACCAAAAATATAATCAAATCATCATAAAAAAATAATAAAATATTCTAAAATATGTCCTAACAAAATGAGTTTAGTTTCAGTACTCATCCATTGAACTCACCACTTGATGAACATCTAAAAAATTTGGACGATTTCAAATTTTATAAAATTTATTTTTTAATTTTATTTTATATTTATTATAAAAAATTAAAATTTTAATAAATTTATTTCATTTTTAGTCTAGACAATACAGATTTAATTTGAATAGTTCAATTTAATATTAATTTTGTAAATTTTTTGATAAATTAATTATTTAGATATATTCTAGATAAATTGAATTTAAAGCATATTTAGATAGTTAATTTATAAATTTTTTAAAAAAATTAATATTAAATTAGACCACCTAAATTAAATCTGTATTATTTAGATTGATAATAAAATAAATTTATTAAAATTTTATATTTTATAATTTAATAAATATTTATTAAAATATAAAAATAAACTGATAAATTTAGACGGTCCAGATTGTTTGATGAGCACGATGGTGCTCAACCGAACGCGAATAGAACAGCTTATTCAGTTAAAGATTCTGGTTCCTGCATAGATTCTGGTTCCTGCATATTTAGATAGTTAATTTATAAATTTTTTAAAAAAATTAATATTAAATTAGACCACCTAAATTAAATCTGTATTATTTAGATTGATAATAAAATAAATTTATTAAAATTTTATATTTTATAATTTAATAAATATTATTAAAATATAAAAATAAAACTGATAAATTTAGACGGTCCAGATTGTTTGATGAGCACGATGGTGCTCAACCGAACGCGAATAGAACAGCTTATTCAGTTAAAGATTCTGGTTCCTGCATAAGAATTGAGAACAACGAGAGCACAGTGAGTGGAGGCAAGATGGTCATCGTGTTGTTCATTCGATTCTCTTTACACTTTGTACGTATATGACGTTGCATTTTGATAGAAGTCAATCGGAAAAGTACAAGTGACGGAGTGATAATGGGTTTCATCTCTTCGGAGTCTCCAACAATTCCCGATTCGTCTTCTTTCTCTCTCTTCCTCTACATAATCTGCCGTCCTCCTTGAGCCTTCAAAACTCCCACCACTTTCATCGTTTTCTTCTTCCAATTTCCATCTCCAACATGAGCAATTTCGATTCATCTCCGCAGAATCAGCAGGTTAGTTGATAATCTTGCTTCTCATTTTAAATTTTTCAACCTTTTGAACTGTGTATTGGTATTTTTCTTAGTTTCTGCGATGAATTAGGCCAATTTTGAATTGCTATCATTGCCTTTTTATTTCCCATTAGTGGCTTGCATTTATTTGGTTCAGTTGTTTGTCAAATTTTGATACACTTTCTTTTGCGTTCAGTAATTTGATTAGTATTGCATCTGAGTTACTCCATTTGAACTTCATATTTTAGCTACAGGTTAGCATTTGATCCATTTGTCATATTTGATGAGCATTTTCTGTGATTTAGAGTTAATATGACATTTTCTTTTTCCTGTTAAAATTTATTTTAGTTGAGGAAACATTTTCTAACTCTAAATAAGAAAATTTTTGAGTTTCTAGTTAATGATGAATTCCTGATGTTGTTTCATTCAGGAACTAGAGAATTTTAGCTCTATCCTTTCAGTGCTCTTGTTCCTTGCCTAATTATTATAGGACTTCCAGGGGTAGAAAGATGAATACATGCTAGTATTCTCATTATTCTTCTCTAAAGTGCTTTGCCTTGGATAGAAGTCTGCAGTACTTTGCTATCTAGAATTTTAATTGAACATCACCTGAAATGTTAAATTCTTGACTATATGATATATTATTCAAATAACTAGTTCTTAACTTGATTGCTTTGTATAAAATTGGAAGTTCATTAAGAAAATAAAAGTTTTAAAGCAAGCAGTCAAACGTCTGAAAATGGACCCCTCCTTAGTTGTGAATCACTTATTCAATGACTCTCCAGAATTGGTTTTGAAAATTATTATAGCTCTAGATATCACGGTTCTTGAAATCAAATATTCAGTGAATGCCAGGAGGAAATTTATATACACATCACTATGCATACTATTTTATTATTTTTTATCTTTTTTTTTTAATTTTTTCATTGGGAATTATGCTTGCTTGAAAATATTTTGCTAGATCAATAATGTTCCTTGTTCTGTGTTTGTAGTTTCACGCTAGAAGAATTCTTTCAAAACAAATACTACCAAATGAAATACAATGTACTTCTTTTGTAGAAAATTAAATCTCCAAAAAAAGGGGGAAAAAAGAAAATCTTATTCCATTGCTTTAGTTTGAAGGTCCTTGATCTGTTGATGAGATGATACACAACATTGCCCTGGAAGTGCTTCATTAATTACTCTTGCATCGAATATCCTGAATCATTGCCTGAGAACTTCGTTTTGATGGATATCATCAAACCGTTACTCTTCATCAAGCTTTTCATTTTGATAATTTCTTTTGAAATCTTTTTCTTCTGTTTTATTTAAAAAAAAAAAATTCTTTGCATGTGTTTGTAAGGACAAAAATTTTGATTTTGCAGAAACCTGACAGTTGTTCCAGTCTATAATTTCATAATAACCTTTCCCTAATGTGCAGGATACATATATTCGTTCTAGAGATAATCCATTCTTTGATGGCCTCGTAAGATCTACGCTTGTAAGAGCTGATGACAAGGCTCCCTTGGAGTGTCAAAGGATATCAATCAGCAGAAATGTTTACAGATCTTTGTCAGATAGGGTTGACGCTAGACTCAACAAAAATGACACGGATATACCTGAAAAGGTCATGGACTTGCCACCGGAAAATTTAGCAATCTCAGGTTTCAATTCTAAATCTGTTGAACGCTCTTCTTCTGAGAAGTGGTTCAAGAACAGTCAAATTAGTCCATTTATACAACTAGATATTCAGACTGAAGTGAAGGAATTATATTCAAAATATCTTGGTGATAGCTGTAGCCCTGGGAATCCTGAGCCTGTTGAAGAGCATAATGCATTTGAAGCATCTCCAAAAGTCAAAATTGAAAAGACATACATTGTCTCTGAAACAGAAGAAAATCTGTCAAGTATCTTGTTTCCACGATCTGCAGGTTTATATTATAATGGACTTTCACCACAATTGGAAATTGTCGAATCATGTGAAAGCATTATCAAGCTGAATGCTTATTTGAGAGAAAGAAAAGATGATGTCAATGCTGGCGTCCCTGGGAGATTCTTACATGCTGTAATGGTGCGGATAATGCTGGTAATCTTATCTTCCATTTCTTCTATGATATAGGAAAGCAATACTTGTAACCCATAAGTTTAACTTATAACCAGAAGATTAGATGAGCTTTCAGTGAATTTCTTATGTCACTTCCTCCTAGTTTTTGATGAAAAGATTAATGTCATCAGAAAGGAGAAACCTAGTTTCTTTTCTAAATGAATTAATACAGTATTTTAATTTTCCTGGTGATCCCTATGTTTCCACAAACCACTTGACTCTATTTTTCTTTAGTGTGGACCACACTCGAATTTAATTTTGTAGAAAAATATAGAACTTTCTAGTCATTATAATATAATTATGGTCATTTTTCTGCAGTACTAAGCTATATCACATTGTTATGCCCATGAGAACAAAGAATCCAAAAGTTCTTGGTTAATATTTATTTACAGAAAAAATGGCAGTAAATAATATTATGTTCATAAAGGATGTTTGATACAAGGTTCTTTTGTTGGATCTTGGATTTGATTCAATTATCATTTCCAAGATTTATGTTTTGATATCAAGCTTCAATCAAAGGTGTGGAAGTATGATTTGATAATTTTCAAAGAAACTCTTACACTTTAAGAGAGAATAATACTGTATATTTAGTATAGTATCTAAGGATCAGTGCTATTTGTGAGTAAGCTTGAGATACTTCATTTATGCTCTGGAAAATATTTTCATTTCAATTGAGGTCTAGAGGTTTTTTCATCATCATCATTCACCCCAACTCAGGTTTGATTGGGATTTATGTAAACCATTCACAGATGTTGGAACTGTTGCTTCAACCATCATGTATGCCTTCTACCTAAATGAAACTTTGAGAAGTGATCAATTCTGCACGGTGCCAATCATTAACATAAAGCGGGCAAATCTCGGTTCCCATGCAGAACTCAAGTGGTTGCTTGATTCATGTCAAATTGATCAGTCTTCCTTAATTTTTGCAGATGAGGTTTGTTTTATGCTATTTCAAGGTATTAAATGAACACTAGGATATTTGGATTGTAAGATAGACTTGTACATTCAGGATGGTTAAAAAGAAATTTACACGGCAAATCTGACTTTGGGGTTGTAATGATAGAACTGACATGGAGCTGTGGCCTTGAACACATGATGGAAATGTTTAAACAATATCTTTCATGGAAGTAATTGCTAGCTGCCAAATGAGAAAAAAGTTTTTGCTTACTTTCACAATAAATTTCTAGTAGTTGCAGAGAAGAGCACTGTATGTTTTGCTTGCTGTCCAATGCTTAAGATATGTATTTCTTTCATTCTAAATAAGAGAAACTGAAAATATAGTGATAATGGGCATTTGCAGCAGATATGCATGTTATTAGAGAATACAATAAAACTTTTTGGACATTCACTTTATAGATTGTTAAATGAAAGTCAATGGTCCATGAATAGTTTTGTTATGATCTCTAACATTTCTCACCACTCTATTGCATGATTTTCCAATATTATTTTGGAACATATAGATTTGAACTAGTAAGACTGAATTACTTTCAACTTTGATGGAAGTAGGTTCATGTGTCTCCACCTTAAGCCTGGCCTATTTTTACCTTCATCACATCCGTTTTGTCCCATCCTCATTATAACAACCATCCCTTACATCCTTTTGTGTAAAGATTATTCCACTTAACTGGATGAATCTATTCTTTAACATCCTCAGCCAACTGAGAGTTTCTCATCCATGATTTTGAAACAGATTGATCTGTCATATTATGATCCATTTGGAAGTCTTAAGATAGTTCTAGTGAAAAGCAGCAAAATTCCCTATAAGCAAGAGGTAAGTAAATATGCATGGGACACTTTCTTGCTTTTATTCTACTCTATGAGGATTGATGGATATTCTGTTCTTTTGGCAACAGAAATTAAAACATGCTGTGGTTGAAATCTTTCACTGCATAAAGGTGAATTCACTATGCTTAGTATGGTTCTATTTTTCGTGTCTATTAGGTTTCAAAAATTATTAAACTACAACTACAACATGCCATTAATGTCTCTGGTCTTTTCTTTTGCAGGGTGACACTGTATATCCTTGGGTTAAAACTGTCACTAGAGGGGAGGTAATTCAAAGGCCAACTTTAGGATTCTCATTATCATGAGTGATAATCACTCATATGACACCCATGCTAGGGTGCACGAATGCACCACTATTATTTTAATTTGGGACTTTTTATTATCCATGGTCAAGCAAGATTATCATGTAGTAGTTGTAGTCAAAACAGTTTAAAAATTTAATGTACTCTGTGACTGGGGTACAAGATTACACAGTAAAAAAAAAGAACAATAGTTTTCTGGTTAATGAGTGATGAGTTTTCTTTTCTCTTATTTAAAGGAGAACTTGATTTAATTCTTGATGGAGAATTAGATAAACCTTCTTGAAAGATATATTGGGTCCAGTAAGGACTCCATAAACAAAGTCCAGGAGCTTTCTGCTATAAGCTTGGATAGATCCTACTTTTTCTTTAATGTGCTCTTGAGGTTTCTGTTTCTCAAGCTTTTGCTCTCATGGAATGAGTAATTAATTTCAATGTTCTAATTCAATAGCACAATGAGCAGGTTCGCTTTAAAATATAACTGATGTAGTTTCTACTTTGGAGGGTTGACGTCCTAAATAAGAACAGGTGAATATATATAGACTAATATAAGAGCTTTTACAGTATTAATGCAGAATCATATGTACCTGGCAACTAATTATGCTGCAGTTAGATGTTTCTCCTTTTGTTTTCTCTCTTATTAGCTATGCCCGTATTAAAAGTTGAAAGCAAATGATATGTTTTTCACATGGAATGGTTTTATGTGGGCACAAATGTAAAATGCACTACAAGCATAAACTACAAATTCAATTTTCCTATTATTTTTTCATTACAATCCATCATGACATTTGATTTTGTTGCCTGTGAATACAGAAATGCTCTTGCTGTACTGCCATAGCTGAGAAGCTCGCTGTGTATTCACCTGAAATTCTGTCTAGCAGATCATTCAGTAGACTTTTGGTACTTAATAATTCTAGCTCTGGATTTTGATACCTTTTTTTTTTTGGCACTATATCCTTTTAAGATTTGAATTTTCCCAGATTTTAAATTTCTTAGAAATATTTCTAGATGTGATAATTATGCTCATAATATTACGTATTGGACAAAAATGAAGGTACTTTTCTGATGAAGTATCAAAGAAATGATAATAACTAATGAACTAAGGGTAGAAAAATAACATAATATATTGAGACATAATCATAGTTTTATATCATTCTATATCATTCTACATTAAAGTACTCAATATCCTATTGTTAATTAGGATTCTCTTTTTAGTTGGCACAGAATTTATCTTTCTGTTATCTCATTCTTGTATCCAGAATTGTGTTAATGGGAGAAAAAAGCTGGGTGTCTTAAAAAATATTATGATTTGTTGTGTATAAGTGTAACTTATCTTACTGAACTTCAAACCTGACTTCCTTACTTTGCTATTTATACCTGCCTGCAGTTGGCTGGTATCCTTTGGGATACTGCAAATCTGAAAGACCCTCATTGCACATCCATAGATAAGTACATGACTTCACTATTGCTCAATGGTGCTGGCCGTTTTGGATGCAATGGTCTCTACCAATTATGTAAGCCTCGTGCCATTTTTCCTTTGATTTAGTTTTTATGATACTGCACAATTGTGATTAAACATAGTGAAATTGGCCGTTGTTGCTGTTGGTAATTTAGCTTTTTTGTTTTTTATTTCTATTTTTTTGGGGTTATACATTGCTTGGTATTACACATGCAGGTTCTTCCCCTCTGCATGCATTTGATACAGATTTCATCACTCTTAACGTCATTGCTCATTATTGTGTTTTATTGAATACTTCTAATCGAATCATAATGAGCCAATGACATTGGTACTTGTATTGTACCAGATGCAATGGGAATGCTTAAATGGGCAAATGTTATTTAAGAATCCTCTAAAAATATTAACTACAATAAAGGACTAGAAATTTTTGAAATTCAAATAAAGGATCGTGGTTTTTGGTTGGAATTAAAATTATTTTGAGTTGATACTCATTCTTAAGATTTTCAGTACCATTTCGATTTTTCAGCTCTCTTTTTTGATATTTTCAATACTTGTCTTTTATGTTTTCAGCACTTATATTTGATTTTTTTCCATCATTTTAAATATTAAAAATGAATATTGGAAAGATCAAAGTAGAGAAATTTTTTTTTTTAAGGCCAATATCAAAGTTGAGTATTGAAGAAACTGAAATGATAATTATTGAAAATATTAAAGATGATTACTGAAAAGATCAAAGATGAGTATGGAAGAAAAATACTCAAAAAAATTTAATTCCAACCTAGGACGTGGTATTTTTAAAAAGTTTCCAATATTTATTGTCCTTAATTGTAATTAGTATTAGGGTCCTTAATTATCATTTTCCCTACTTAAATTTTTCAAAATTTTAGGGCATGGATCAACGAAGTTAATAAAATATTTGGCTGTATTTACGCATAAATGAAAAAGTAACAAATATAATTAAAAGTTAAGATACTTTGTAAAACATTAAAAAACTGTTTTATTTCAAATAATAGAATAAGATGAGAAAAAAATGTTTCTTTTGTTCTGTAGACATCTCTTAATGTGAAAAGGGAACCATGTTTTTTTATCTGATTTTTTTTTCAATATTTGAGATATAATAATTTTTATTTATATAAATGTTTCAATTAAGTTTTCCAATTTAGTAAACAAGTCTAGCCAAACCAGATCGATTTTAAAAATTGGACTGAGCACAATAGTTTGATGGGTCTGTTAGTGATATTGAGCCTGGCATACCAGCCCAAGTTTACAAGAGAAATAAAAAAGACAAATAAGAATGATGAGCTGGAAGAGAGGGGAAGGAACATTGTAACGAATTCTGAAATGTAATGCTGGTGTGTGGGAATGAGGGGCATGGATGAACAGTGAGGAGAGTACTGGCCTGTCAAATGTTAGTGGGTAGAGGAGCCTCAATAAGGTTTCTTTGAGTCTGATGGGTACATAAGTAGAATGAAAAACCCTACCCCAAAAGCTAGTTTTTGAGGTGGGAGAACCAACCCACACCATTGATCATCCCATGCTACTCAATGTTGGACTTGGTATCCCATATTGCCAAGTCCCCATCAGAGCCTATCTTATTTTCTTGTTTAACTTTCTGCCATGTGAGCTGCAGTGTTTGCTGGTTTTGTGCCTTTGATTCTCCCACTGAGATTAAAGATTCAACCAGTGATTTTGTCTCGGTTTGATATTTCACAGCAAGGATTTGAATATTCAGTCAGGGTTCCATCATAATTATGATACTAATTCAATCAGTCTGCTACTATTTGTTATGAGATCACCGAATGATAAATTGGACTTGTGACCATAATTAGATTTAACAAGTTGAAAATAGTAAGTATCATTTTGTGATTATCAGTCAAGTAAATTTACAATAAAAAAATCATATTTCCAACAAAGCAAACTGAGCCTGGACAGAACCATTGATAATAATAGATAATTAGTGATCTGTCTGGTCTCTACAAGGCTGTGGTGTACTGTGTTTATTTTTATAATTCCATTTTTGTGATCCTAAGGCATGTTTTTGTTGAAAAGAATGGAGAGGGGAAGGGAAATGAGACTTAATTCGACCTACAAAAGGCTATAGTTTTGGTAGTTTAAAGTCATAAAAGTACTGAAGTGCCATCTGAATGGTAATGTGATCATTCATGATGGAGCAAATTTTGAATTTACGTATTTGTTTACAAAATTGGTTTTATCATTTCGATCTTCTCTTGACAGACATTTTTGATTTTCAGTGAAATACAAGATGCATGATATTTCTACTCTACAACTAGCAGATATCTTGCAAAAAGATTTTAAGAAGTGGACAGAACTAGGTATCTGAGTTTGTTGATTTGCCTTTTAGATTATTAAGGAGCAGGCTTTTACTTAATCATTTGATAGTGGATATTATGCGTACTGTTTGTGGAGCAAACCTTTGTTTCATATATGACTTCATTATACTTTTCTGCTTATCACCTGCCTGCCTTCTCACTGTTGTCAGTTGTATGCTGTTGCTAATTATATGGCCACCAGTTGTTAGCTCAACAAACAACCATGTTAACATTAAATATCTTTATTAAAATGTAAGTAACAAATTTAAAATTGAAGGAAAAAAAAAAGAAAGGGTAACCTTTATGAAAATAGGGAGTAAGATGATAAAGTTATCAGATTATAAATATTACAATTGTGTTCAATGCTAAGTATTTTGATTTATGTCTGTTGTTATACTCAACTGTTTAAAGAATGAACTAGTTTAATTAATATTGGAAAATTTAGAACTAGTTACAAATAATGTCTTCCAACAAAATTTGCCATATAATGCATAAATAAAACATGCATATGGCAGTATGTTTCTACCTTCAGTTATTTCAAGCTTACAAAAAACAAGCTGTCTGTCTCTACTGTTTGCGTTACTAATATTAATTGTCCCACTTAGAGCTTCTATAGATATGAATTAATCAAATGGAAAACAAAGTTAGAAGACAACCAATATTGTAGTTTAGGCAAATTAACATTATATAATGGAAATAAATGCCATCATAAAATAAAGCTGCACTCCTTGCTTAAGGAAACCTTTTTCCAAAAGAGAGATTGAAGTTTGTAGGAGAAATAAGCCAATAGTTGTGTGATTTGCATCCAATCTCAATAACAAATACTAACCAAAGCCACCTGTCAGCAAAATCACACGCGAAAGGTCCTCTAGCTTTCTTCGCCTGAGTTGATTTCCCTACAATGATGCCCTATAAAGACATAAGGCTTATTGCTTTGAAGAAGGATGTCAAATTTGGCATGTTGATAGATTTTTGATGGTGTACATGGTAGTGTATTTAATGTGAATGTTAAATGAGATAGGTCTTGTCACGTGAGAATAGTATTAGTAGCATTAGCAGATACCTAGTTAGTTAGTAGTTTTTTAGATTGTTAAATTGTTACATGGCCACCTTTATTGATATAATTAAGAGAAGGTACAAGTGTATTAGGGGTGATTGAATTAGATGCAAGTGTTGTCTTTTTCATTTGTATCACTTGTTATCAGAGCTGTTTGATTCCTGCAAGATGAAAGAAGAGCCTTAGATAAACCCAAGCTTAGTACACAAGATGAAAATGACATTAATGAAATGCGAAACTCCCTGATAGAAATAGAGGAATAACTAACGAAGATGCCGGTAGTATTGGAGATGTAATGTGGGAGACAGACGCAGACCTCTGTTGTTCAAGATCCCTTGTCCCCGGTGGTTCATTAAGAAGAAATTGTCTTAAAAATCTCAATTTATACTCGAGGTCAATGATTTGTTTCTGGACTCTTGGTTTTTCTCTGCCACTTTATCTGAAATGAAACTCATCTCCCTCTCTTTCCCGTTCCCTCCCACCCTCCCTGCAGCTGCTAAGTAAGTGAAACACTTTTTGGGTATTTAAAATCGATACAAGTTAGATTGAGACATCTTGAAGTTGATTATCTAGTTATAATTTTGTTAGCTCAATACTTCCATTCAATTTATTATCTAGTCGGTTAACCATGTTTTATCATCAGATGAATACTTGTTATAGTTATGAATTAATTCATTGGCAATCATGAATATGTCATGTTTTGTGGTAAAACAGAAAGATCTGATGCAAGATCACTGTCGGATATTGGCATGAGTTGTATTGGAGTTTCAATTGGACAGCTTCTCTCCCAGCCAGCACATCTAGTGCAAGAAATACAATACTTCCAATGTGAGTGAGTCTTTGAGATGGCATACTTATTATTCAATTAATTCTTGGTTAATACTTGTTTTTTGAACACAAACTCAAGCATTATTGTGATAATCATCTTTATTTTGGAAACATGGTCTCATTGACTAGCATGCATTTTCTTATCATTCCGATATGATTTGAAAGAAATTTATAAAAGCTAAATATCAATTTTGACTATGTTACTACATTCACTTCTCACTTTTGGTTAACCTTCAGTGTCAGAGAAACTTAAGGCGCTTATCATTGTTTCGGGGTACTACAATGAGGAGAAGAACTTCAAGGTTTGAAACTTCAATTTATAGTGACTATCCCTGTCAATCTAACTCTCAATACATTTGTTGCTCCAAATAAATGGAAGCTAAATCATGCAAACAAACTTACTGAACAAAAATTATTCTCTGCAAGTGTTAAATTCTTTTAACCTGATAATTAGGATAAATTCATAAATTCGGATCAGTCTTGAACATCTAGAAGTGCTCTAAACCCATCCAACATAAAGTATAACTATGTCAATAATAAATTGATTGGTTTTGCGTTGTTAAGGACCAAAACTGGAGCTCTCTTGTCAAACTTGTTAGATTATAGTCTCTCCCATCAAGTTTATTCTGCTTCAGTGGATTGGGAGCATCTCTGATTTTTTGATACAGTAACTTACCTTTCGGTTCTAGTGATTGACATTTTCCTGTTGTCCTTCATAATGATTACGTAATATATTCTCATACTATTGTTGTGAGACATCAAACTAATCTCTCTTTCGGCATATGTAACTGTATGTTCAGAGAGAAATCTTGGTTTCTGCTGAATCTGTGAAGCTACTGGAGAGCATGATCTTTTTCTTTGATTTCAATGCATCCCGGCTGCCACTTAAAAGTTTAAATATACCAGGTTTGTTTTGATTGAAAGTGCCAAAAAAACAAAAACAAAAAGGAGTGCGTCAAATGCTTCTTTGGAAAAGATATGAAACCCCCTTGTTAAATGAGATTGAAAGAGGTGCTTTGTGTTATTTCCGTGTTTTGTTACCTCTTAAAATTAATATACTAAAGTTGTGAGGGTAAAATGGAAATTTGGCCCTTTAACTACAAGCCTATCAGTATTTAGAACCCTAAATTCATTTTTTTTATGCATTTTCCCCCTTAAACTTTTAAAATCATGGCATTCTTCTCCACTGTTAATTTTAATTGTTAGTTGATTAGAAAATTGTGAAAAATGACCTTAAAAATTACAACAAAAAAGACCAAAACAATCACATGTATTACTCACAAATTATAATAAATGACCAAAAAATAAAATTTTTAATTTTTAAGTCTTTTTTTGTTATTCTTTTGGTCCTATTTTACTTTTTTTAGTCAATCAATGGTCAAAATTAATGGCAGGGAGGAGATTGCAACAGATTTAAATGTTTAGAGGTAAAAATACACAAAAAACAAATTTAAGATCCCAAATGCTGAGCCTATAGTTTAAGGATTAAATTGTCATTTTACCCAATTTGTAACTAAGCTTGAGCTCAGAGAGGTAAAATGTATTTTCTCCAATCCAATTTTTTCTGCGTAAAATATTTTGTTGGTATGGTGGGTCTGTAGGTCGCTAGATTTTACTTCATGTCATGTTCTTGCAGGTCTGAAAAAGGAGATGAAAGCTTTTGAGATTGATAAGATTACACCAAGGAAAAACGATAGAAAATCTGATAGAAGAGTTTGTTGGGATAAGAAAAGCCTAAGGCAGGTTCCAGAGCTAAAAAAATGTGAGTAAATTTGGTGATAATCAGCTTATTTGAAGCCAGGAAAACAGAGACAAACAAATGGGTCCATGAATAGTAAGAAAAGCGTCATGACAACCTACTTTCACTTCAAATGATTACACTTGCTGGTTTAGCATGTGATGATGTTTCAAAGTGAGTACTGTATTTTGTAACGGAAGCTTAGTTTTGATATTCATTGATAGATATGGTGAACTTTATAGGCTTCATTGAATTTTGAAGGTGTTTATCACAATCGAAGTTTATAATTTATAAACAAGAATAACATCATATCATTTATGGTTATCAACGTTGGTCAATGTCACTATGAGGTGACGTTATACTATTTTTCAAATTTCACTGACAGAAAACTTCCGGAGCAAATTTATTCTCTTCAACTGGAAAAAACTTAAATATATTCCAACTGTGTTGGAGGATCTCATGGACATATATGAAGGCTTACAGCTTTGTTGGCAACATGGTTGAGAGTCGTTAGAGGTTGTCCTTGAAATCATGAACATTCATGACAATAATGACTCGGCGTTGAACATTGTGTAAGATATTAGGAACTTTTATATGAGAGATTAAGATATCACTAACAAGCACGTATATATAACAATAATAACAAGTTTTATCTAATTAAATGGGTCAACTATATGGCTTGCATAATGCTATTATACTACCTCATTTAGTTACCAAACTTTAAGGAATGTTGTTAATAAAACAGACTTAGTTTAGCAATTTTCATAAATATTCTCTTTGATTTTCTTTTATTTTTTTTAACATGACTTAAAATTATCCATTTCACTTTCCTTGCTCATGTCTCTTGCGATCTTCTTTATACACATTCAAATCATTTTAAATAATTTTTTACTATTTTTTCCTCAATAGATACTAGCCCACTTTTCTCATACTTCCTTTGTCCCAAATTATAGGTATTTTTGAAAGAGTTTCTCCGTCCCAAAATATAAGACACTTTAGGTAGATTAAAATTTCATTAAATGCACCAATTTCAATATTACCTTTCCTCTCCCTATAATTAATTTTCATCACTTCTCGTTTTAATATATTAAATGATGGATATTTTTAAAAGTTTATATTTTTATTTTGGAAAGATAAGATTGTTAAGTGTATTTAATGAGGTTTATTGATGTGTGAGATTTTGTTTAAAAATGTCATATAATTTAGGACGAAAGGAACATATGCTCATTTTATATTTTATCTTTATGTGTATGCTCACACATTTATATGAATATTATCATTACTATTCCAACTTTGTGCTTGTTATCCTATTAAAACCCAACATTCATTACTATATAATATAACTAGTTTTATAGGAGTTCGATAAAACTTTCATTTATATTTATTAGGTGCCTTTCAATCACAAATAATTCCTTTAGTCTTTTTTCAATTAAACTACCAACTTATATCCTATATGCAACATTTCATCAATTTTTCCATCATGTTAAATAATAGCTTTCAAGTATTTAAACTTTTTCACTTGAGATATAATCTGAACTTTTAATTTTACTTCCAAATTATTAATGACTAGCTACTAACAAGCACATATATAAAGAAGTTAATTCTAATGATGACCACATTGCAAATTTTACTTATAGAATGGACTCCCCAAGATTATAATAATGTACTTTCTTTAGACCTTATTAGTTCTCCTTGAAGCCTCATTTGGTGTGGTGAAATGTTTTTTTGATGAAATGGAAATGAAAGTGAGAATAAGAATAGGAATAAGAATAAAAATGGAAATTGGGTTAAAAGGTATACTTATGGACCGTTTGGATTTATAACGTTCGATATTTGGAACTTTTCAAAGGTAAATGGGATGTTGGGGTATTAATTGAAGGAAATAAATGTATACTTAATTTTCATTTGATCATATTACTTTTGTGTGACTTTTGATAGAGAGATTAATAGAGTTTTTGATTTTAATTAAAGACCATATTATATTATTTTTATTTTAAAATATAAGACATTTTGGTAAAAATAATGTTTTATAATAATATTTTTTAATATTATTCTTTTGTTATATTCTATTATTTTAATAAAATATTAAGTGAATGATATTTTAAAAGTTCATATATTTTTTAAAGAAATAAGACTATAAAATGTATTTAATAAATTTTAGTGCTAGATTTGATTTTTTCTATGTATAACAAAAAATTGTCAGAATCATACTTTCACGATTGTTTATTGTGCAGATTTTAAATATTTGTCTAATGCTTGAAGTTGATCAACCTACTTACATGAAAGAGTTCTGCCCCATTTCTTTGTGCAACATAATCATGAAGATAGTGACCAAAATCATTGCCAGTCGTCTCAAGAAGTATATGAACCACCTGGTGCAACCAAATCAGTGCAGTTTCATTGCTGGCCGTCAAAGCTATGACAATATAATCATAGCCCAAGAAGCCATCCACACCATGAGAAAGAAGAAGAAAAAATAAATAAATACATGGCGATCAAGGTAGACCTAGAGAAAGCCTTTGACAAACTTGATTAGGGATTTATCGAACATACTCTCAAAAGTTTGAGACTTAGCGACTCTTTTGTTAATATCATCATGGCTTGTGTGTCTACCACTTCTATGAAAATTAATTGTAATGGCGATCAATCGAACGATTTCAAACCTTTTGGAGGAGTTTGACAAGGAGACTCCTTAAGTCCCTACTTATTTGTTTTGTGCATGGAAAGATTAGGTATGTTAATTCACCATCTTTGTGAAAGCAAGATTTGGAAACCCCTTAAGCTATCAATCAGAGGCCCAAAAATATCCCATCTCTTCTTTGCAGATGATTTAGTTCTATTTATCGAAGCTTCTCTAGAACAAGCCAATATTGTCAAACAAGCTGTGGAATTATTTCGCAAGACCTCTGGGCATCGGATGAATCTAAGTAAGACAAAATTGTTTTGCTCTGCCAATAATAGCTATCGGGTAAAGCTAGATTTGTGTCAACCATTAGGGATTGGATTCACTCATGACCTTGGCAAATACCTAAGAGTCCTACTGCTCCACCAAAGAATTGGTAAGGTATGTTTGCCCCTCTCATAGATAAGGTCAGAAACAGACTCATCAGCTGGAAGGGTAGATTCCTAAATAGGGCGGGTAGAATGGTACTTATCGAGTTTGTCTTATTAGCTCTTCCCTCTTATATGATGCAAACCATGCTAATTACAAAATCCATCCTTCATGAAATTGAAAAATATTGCAAAATATTCCTTTGGGATGAACATGAAGATAAGTCAAAACTTTACTTGATTTCCTAGGATGTCATCAAAGGCCAAAAACAAGTTGGCAAGCTAGGTATAAAGGACCATACTTTGCAAAACAAAGCCTTCATCATGAAATTATGTTGGGGATTAATTACCAAACTTGATTGTCTTTAGGTAAGGTGCTTGAGAGCTAAATATAATTGCTGTAACGGTGAAGTTCTTTTGGTGACCCTGAAATGCTCTTCTTCCCACATTTGGCAAAGCATTGTTTCAATGTGGGAGGATTTCTTACAAGGAATTACCAAGAAGATCAACAATGGCTTATCAACTAGCTTTTAGTGGGACCAATAGGCATCGATCGGTCAACCTCTCATTAATCTAGTCTCTAATCCTAACCACCAGATTAACCCCATGTAAAAGTCTTTGATATCATATCCCCTTCAGGCGGTTGGAATTTGGTTTCACTTTATATGTCCTTCACTGAAAACATCATTAGGAAAATCATTGTCGTTCCTCCTTGTATCAATCCTTAAAATGACACTTTTTGGTAGAAACCTGGGAAACATGGGAGATTTTTAGTGCAAGCAGCCTATATTTTTTTGAAGAAGAATACAGCTAATGATCGTAACCCTATTTGGAAGATTCTATGGAAATGGCCTCTACCTAAAAAGATGAAATTTTTCTTTTGGCAAGTACTTCATGAGAAAATTCCTAATAACTAATGGAGAGCTATGAGAGATTTCTCTGAGAATACTAATTGCCCCTTTAAGTGTGGTTGTGAGGAATCTATTACTCATATCTTAAGAGATTGTATGAGAGCAAAAAATTTATGGAAGGAATTGATTAACCCTATTTTCCATAACAAATTCTTCTCATGCAGCTTGCAGGACTGGATAAAATGGAGCACAACACATCATATTGATAGCGGGAAACTTAAATATTGGCCCTAGATTCACGTCTTTGGTCATACTTGTTGGTTGCTATGGACTTGTAGATGAAAAGATATCTTTGAAGGAACTCAACACAACACGAAAGCTATCCTTAACATGTGTTAAAGAAAGCTGATAGAGGAAAGAGATCTCAATCAACTCAAATTGCATTATGCCTTAATTGACACACATAGGTGTCGATAGATAGCACCTGTCTAAGGAACTATAAGAATGGACGTGGATGCTTCTCTAACTAAAAATAACAATGTTGCTTGTGGTGGATTAGCCACAAATTCAAAAGGTAAATGGATAAGGGACTTCACTTGTAACCTTGGTAATATCCTTATCATTATTGCAGAGGTCAAAGCTATTTAGCTAGGAATGGAGACTTGTAGAAGTATGAAAATTGAGAAAGCCTACATTTTCTCAGATTCACTTAATGCTGTTAGTTTTATCTATAGAGGAATTCTAAATTTTCACCCCTTCTACGAAGAGGTAAGAGCTATACAGGAGCTGATTATCACTCAACAGGATTACAAGATTCTCTATGCCCTTCATGAAGCCACTCTTTATGCTAATTTTCTTGCAAAGCAAGCCCACCATCATCCTTGCAATCTGATACAACTACTTGTAGCTCCCAGGGAATGTTAAGTTTATCTTCTAGCTGATAGGAGTGGGATTATACCCATAGCTTCTAACATTATCTAGTTTTATCACTAGCCTTTTCAAAAAAAATTGTGCAGGTTTTTTTTAATACAAGGACACAAGAAACCCGTGTAAAAGGTGAACAAAATTAGGTCATGTTAAATTCCATAAGAGACCTACAACCTGGGGGTAGATGATCATAAATAATAAGATCCAGCTTTTTTTAAGAGGCTTGGTGAGCGAGCATGTCCATACATCTGTTTGCTTTCCTGAACGTGTGGTCAAAGGTAATGATCCAATCTTTCATAACTAATTTCCTGACTTTATTGATAATACCAGAGAGAGGATGGTTATTAGGAAAATTATGTTGGATAAGCGAGAGTGCTTCGACATAATCAAGTATATATTGATTTTATTGAATCAAGCATTCCAACAAAGTTGAAGTCCTTCTAGAATACCCAAGAGTTCCATTATGGTGCTTGATTGATAACTAAGATATTTAGA